CCCCCCCCCCCCCCCCCCCCCTCCTCTGGGGAACCCTCTGGGGTGAACGTTGCCTGACATCCCAAAAAACAGCCGTGAGGGCATTCTCGTCCCCAGAGCCACTCAGTTTAATCTGTAACGAACCAGTGGCTAGCCCCTCGATTCAAGACCACTTGACCAAAACCCGACGGGCTCTGGGGACGTGACGGGACGAGAATGTACGCTCCTCTGAGCATGCGGGAGCATGCACGATGGCTGCTAATGAGGGCGTCATAAAAGCAGTTGTAAATTTTTACCAAGATGATTCAGAGTGCGGTGTTTCTTGGTCTTTCTTACGATCTACGTTATGTTGGTCTCTGGCCGGTAAAAACGTTTGTGCGGAAGAGAGTAACACAAGACTTGAGAAATGGAGGGCCACTTGAAATGCTGTCAATTGCAAAACCGATAAAAATTTTAAAAAGTACTGTTACATCAGTTTTTTAATTCAACGTTTAATTTACATTGTATGTGCTATTTTAGCTAAAAGTCGGATCAAAAATAAACAAACAAGTGTCATAGTTTTAACTAATAATTAAAATTATTTTAAATAATCATTTAACTGACAACTGACAAAAAGCCTAAAATTTTAACTGACAACCGACATTTGTACCCTCCATCCAGACCCTCTTTATAGTTAGTTGTCTCCTCGAGAAGTGCGATAGTTTTAAAGCACAATTACTCTTCCACCGCATTTTACTTCAAGAGGCACTGTAATATGACCCACCTGGGACACTATTAATGCAAGGCTTTGTGTTCCAAAAATATGATGGTTTAGCCTGCATAGCAGGCGTTTCCAATCGAGTTATTGCGCGAAAGTTAGAGCGGGAGCAAAAAAAAAAGGTGGAAGGGGGAGGGGTAGGGGAGAAGAGGAAACGCTTGCCCGCAAACCCCACGATTCTGGAAAACGCCCCTTGATATTTCACGGTTCGGTTGATTTGTAAATTGACAGCTCGTCAAAATAGAAGTATAACTAACAGGTTTCCCCTGGATTACCAGATTTTTAAAATTACTTTGTTCTCTAATAGAACACGTTCCAGGCGATTGCAAAAACTGTAATAAAAGGGTTTACGATAAAAGAAGGTTGAAACTCTGAGCGATTGCTTCGGAATTTTTGTTGTTTTTTATTGTGTGGCTTTATCTCGTCTGAAACCTTGTCGAAGCGTCAAAAATGATTTGTCCAGAACCATTTACTCCGGCGGCTATAAGTTTTGCGGCAGAGCGGCTGCTCTTCAGCCCGTGTCGAAACGTTCTTTACCATACATGCCGCTAAATTTCCAATAAACAAAAAGAATCTTTTCATTTCAAAAAGCTGACAAATCGCTTTCCCGTGGCGGCTTTAGCTAGTGTCGAGTACCGATATTCTGATTTACGTTGATGTTATCTCCAACAGACAGTCCATTTTATCCAGTCAGATCCGCACGCCGTCATTTCAAATACATTGGCCTTCCCTAGTCTCCACTGCTCGATCTCCAATTATACTTTGAAGACTTTGATCTTATAAACCTTCGCAGAAACACGATTCAAATAAACATCAGTCCAAAGCATTTGTAATCTGCGACCACAAATCAGATGAAACCAGATCTGTGACGCAAGTGAACAAAACATACCTGGTTTGATTGATGTTTCGAGTGCTAAGCAATCAACAGTACCAATACCGCGCCAATCAGAACCTGCGTTCGTGGGCGAACGCAGTTTTTCAAAATCGTGGGGTTTGCGGGCAAGCGTTTCCTTCATTCCCCCCCCTCCCCCTTCATTCCTTTTTTTTGCTCTTGTCCCAACTTTCTCGACGAACTCGCGAGGAAACGCTCGCTACGCAGGCTAATGATGGTTTAAAGTTTCGTTCAGCTGATTCTTTCGTTCAAAGTCTTCATTGACAGTGTATATTGCTACTATCAGGAGGTGTGTCTCTCTTTCTTCACCAGCGTATACAACTTGTTCTACCAACGGGGTGGCATGCAACGCGGTAATAGCGATCTCCTTGGATGTTGACACTAAAGTTGGCAAGATATCGATTTAGTCCATCTACATTGAACAAGTGACAAGACCATAACTCGCCCATCTTTAGACGCATGCGCAGTGATTTCCTGTGCAGACTCGATTATCGCTTCACCAAACGAACCAACATAGCTACCGTTCCTTGCATGGTATAGATCAACCACTTTACGTTCCTTCAATATGAACACCTTACTACCGCTGACGGTCAGTCTGTTGAAACCGCTCCCTTTCCCAACAGGAAACCTAAGCTGAAAGTCAAGAGTCTCGTTAAAGACTCGCACTTCAAACTTCTCTGGCGACGAGATTCTCGGTGACATCATCTGTGTCACTAGTAGATAGATCGTATCGTCCAAGTCTGAAATGGCGACATCATAGATGTACGAGGCGAGTGGAATCCAGAATCCAGGACTGTCTTGGATTCCTTTACATGGAGCAATCAACCTTATTAAAAAGAAAAGACGGACCATTGTCATCAAGGAACATAAGATTGGAAAGCCAAACGAGAAGGGCAATATATGTGAGCGTAACTGAGCTGAATGCAATGGCCAAGCGAAGACGACAATGAGAAAGTGTATATTCACATGTTTTAATAAAACTCTACTTTTTACACCCTAGAAACTGCCCGCTCATACCGGTTGATTATTTTCCTGTGAGTTGTGGCAACTAATTGGTTCTTATGTATATCTTTTGCTTATTAGCTAATCACAGGACTCCATTTTCTGATATATTAACGTTTTATTACCCTGTTTTTGCATTACATTTCCTCGTTTTTTCTCTGTGTTTACTACAGGTTACATTTAAATAATTCCCTATGCTTAAACAAACGTAAAGCATTTTTTCTCTTTAATTCTCATCTCGTAAACTAACTGACCCTAGCCAGTTTTTGAACATGTGTATACTGCTCAGACTTCGTGGTTGCGATGAGACGATTAGTAGTACATTAATAATCTACGTACACTGACCCTGTGAGCGCGTCATTTAAACCTCTGGCAATTGAACAAACCATTTTTAATCAATTTGAATCTTTGTTTAACAGATGACTGATCATGACAGTTTAGCTTGTTTTCTACAAGACAATTGTACTATTGGTTTTGCCAATATCACGGCAGCAACAAGATTGCCAATAACTCTGTCGTTTAATCACTGCCAAATGAAAATACAGCCCACATATATCTAATTGGTTTTTGACATGATGAAGCTATCATATAAGGAGGACAGATATATTTAAAAAAGGGTTCGCTTGAACGTAGTTGCTTCGGAGAAAAGTCATGGTAATGACAAACTAGCAAACAATTAGAGAATTGTATTGTCCTGCAAAATTCACTGGAGAGTCGAGGAGAGGTACATGGCGAGCTAATTTTTCTGTGAGACAAAAGAGGATAGCTAAATATCATGGTGAATGATGGTGCAAGTCCCATGTTAATATTTTGGGTTTACTATACTCCATCGAAACGAACGTCACCATGGCGTTTTTAATTTTAGATATTTTGCCTTTCATATAACAGATCCGAATTGGACGGGCCGGGAGATAATTTGAACAACGGAAATAAATTTAAAAAACAATTTAAAGAAAGATATGATCCTGACGTAGTAAAATAGCAATTTAAGCAATTGCAAATAAACCGCCCAAAATGTAAAAGTTATAGCCCACTCCGTTTGACATGTTTGAGGATATACTCGGTTAAGACTTTCTCGTCAAAGAAAATGTAGCCAAATTACTGCTGGTATCTATGTGAACGTCAGTCAAAGTTGATTATAGAAAAACGGCACAAGCAATTTGAAGCTACAAAATATAGAAACATTTAAAAGCCCCCAACTTTAATATAAGCTCCACCAGTAACAGGCCCATTAATCTGAAACAAAAAAAAAACGTGCTATCATTGTAAGCCCCACCCCCACAATATAAGCTCCCCTCTAACTTGTATTGAAATGAATTCGATTTATTATGATGTTTGTAAGCTGAATTAAAGTCCGGTAAATGAAAAACGCATTTTAAATCAACACTGCTTTAGCTTGTTTTGAAGCACTTTTTCCATTCCGTCTATAATCCCCCTCGGTTATAAGCCCCTCCATTTAGAAGCCCTCCTGTCCCCTTACGAAGATGTATAATCCCAGGGCTTAGTTATAAGCGGCAGTTTACGACACCGCATATCATATGCTCGGCTTGCAAACTTAACACCTACGTTAGCAAAATTTTCTCGTTCTTGCTTTCTGTTTACTAAAACTGCATTGCTCTCAGCCAATGCCAATCAGATTCAAGAATTTTTTTCATGTTTATTATATTTGTAGTAATAACACGTTTCATTCTAATTCCCGAAGCTCGAACGAACGTAAAGAAAGTTCTATTCTCTTTAATTCCCTTCTCGTATCTGACCCAGACTTTATAGCTCATTTTGTGAACGTTTGTACAACAGTTACAGACAGAGACAACCTGCCTGCGATCATCCTATGAGCGCGTCAGTTTAACTTCTGGCAATTGACGAAAACCGTTTTTTACTCAATTTGAATCTATGTTTAACAGAACTATCGATCAAGACTTGGTTAATAGACTTTTTATTACCAACAGTTTAACTCGTTTTCTAAAACCCAGGCAATTGGGCTATTTGCTTCCATATCGCACGGCAACACCAAGATTTAATAAACACCAAGGTTTAATAAACTGAAAATACAGAGCAAATATTTTAAATTGTTTGTTAACAAAGTGTAGCAGTCATATAAGGAGGACAGGTGTATTAAAAAAGAGTTCAGTTGACTGTAGCCGCATCACATAAAAGTCATGGAAATGAAAAATTTTACTGGAGGTGAAAACCTGCAAATAATTGCAGAACTTTACTGCTCTGTGGAATTTACTGGAGAGGTACATGGCGAGCTCGTTTTTCTCTCTGTCATTAACACTTTTTTGCCAATTACAGCATTTTTGGGGAACACTCTGATCCTCGTTGCCCTTCGCAAGGACACATCAATTCATCCGTCATCCAAACTCCTGTATCGTAACCTAGCGATAACCGATCTCTGTGTTGGTATCATTGTCGAGCCTCTGTATGTGGCTCATTGGACATCTGTGGTGAACAAAATATGGGATATTTGCTATTNTGTATTAAAAAAGAGTTCAGTTGACTGTAGCCGCATCACATAAAAGTCATGGAAATGAAAAATTTTACTGGAGGTGAAAACCTGCAAATAATTGCAGAACTTTACTGCTCTGTGGAATTTACTGGAGAGGTACATGGCGAGCTCGTTTTTCTCTCTGTCATTAACACTTTTTTGTCAATTACAGCATTTTTAGGGAACGCTCTGATCCTAGTTGCCCTTCGCAAGGACACATCAATTCATCCGTCATCCAAACTCCTGTGTCGTAACCTAGCGATAACCGATCTCTGTGTTGGTATCATTGTCGAGCCTCTGTATGTGGCTCATTGGACATCTGTGGTGAACAAAATATGGGATATTTGCTATTACACATATTTGACAGCATATTTCCCAAGTATTACTTTGTGTTCAGTATCGTTGGTAACATTGACTGCAATAAGCGTAGACAGACTTCTCGCTTTGCTACTGGGTCTCAGATACAGACAAGTTGTAACTTTGAGAAGAACACGTTCAATTGTTATTGGTGGTTGGATTGTGTCCATTGTCGGTGCATCTACCTCCTTTCTTAATATTCTTATAGTTTCATTGTACGTATATATAGGTACAGCTTTTTGTTTAGTTACTACAATCTGTGCCTACACAAAAATTTTCATGTCTCTGCGTCATAACCAAATTCATGTTCAGAACCATGTTGTTCAAGGACGATCAAGCCAAGCAAATACACTGAATATAGCTCGATACAGAAAGGCAGTGTACAGTGCACTGTGGGTGCAGGTATCATTGGTTATTTGTTATCTGCCGCACGGTATAGCTGTAGCATTAACACCTCAAAGGGGGATGCCTTTATCTTCGTTTCTTGCTAGGGGATTTACAGTTACTTTAGTGTTTTTAAACTCGTCGTTAAACCCGTTTCTGTACTGCTGGAAGATCACAGAAGTGAGACAAGCTGTAAAAGAAACAGTACAACAACTATACTTCTGTATCAACTAAGACTTAGGCTAAGAACATAGTTACTAACGAACTTGATAAGAAAAAATATATAAGAAAACCAGACAAATGCTCTAGTCCGAATTGCACCTTTAAGATTGTTTTCTGTTTCATTGCAGGTTGTAAAGACACTAACAAAATCATCTGTTTATGTTAAAAAGTTTAATAATCATAAAACAAAATGAAAATATCACTAAAACTACTCAGTTAGCTAGTTAGTTCTATGGCAATGAAGACTACGAAGCAGGCACATATTCTTAAAAAGAACAGCTCACTTGCTCGCAACATCACACCGACAAACTCTTTTGACTAATGTTTTTTAAAGCCAGAAGACAATCAGAGAGCTTTACTGTTCTGCGGAATTTACTGGAGAGGTACATGGCGAACTTATCGTGAAAACACACTGGATAAATAACAGCTGTTGATAACCATAAAATCCTCTATGTTCATAGTATAATCAAGTTTAACAAACGTCATAAGTTCAGTTTGGTAAAACTAATCAGGGCGCAAAAATATTACTTTTCCGAATGCTTTTTCAAAATTGAACAATGTTTATTGTGGGATAATTTGATGGCCAATAAATACACATTAACGTTGTTCTGTTGCCTAACACCGGTCATTTTAATAAAAGCTTTCGAGCATACGAAGGCTTTTGGTTTTAGGTATAATGAAAAGTGAACCCTTTTACTTGGTAATGGATTCATGATAACCGTCACGAATATAGCTAGAGATGTATTTAGTATAGTAGAACAAAGTTGATGACTTGGTGTAGTTAGTTTAGTGATGTACTTGGTGTAGTTGGTGTAGTTAGTGTTGTTTTTTTTGTAGTTACTGTAGTTGCTGTAGTTCGTGTAGTTATTGTAGTGAGTGTAGCACGTGTAGTTGCTGTAGTTGCTGTAGTTACAGTAGTTGGTGTAGTATGTGTAGTTGCTGTAGTTGCTGTAGTTACTGTAGTTGGTGTAGTTAATGTAGTTGGTGTAGTATGTGTAGTTAGTGTAGTTCGTGTAGTTGGTGTAGTATGTGTAGTTGGTGTAGTTGCTGTGGTTACTGTAGTTGCTGTAGTTACTATAGTTTGTGTAGTTACTGTAGTTGCTGTATTTCGTGTAGTTGCTGTAGTTTGCGTAGTATATGTAGTTGGTGAAGTTGGTGTAGTTAGTGTAGTGTGTGTAGTTGCTGTAGTTAGTGTAGTTGCTGTAGTCGGTGTAGTATGTGTAGTATGTGTAGTTGGTGTAGTTAGTGTAGTTGCTGTAGTTTGTGTAGTTAGTATAGTTGGTGTAGTTGCTGAAGTTACTGTAGTTGCTGTAGTTACTATAGTTTGTGTAGTTACTGTAGTTGCTGTAGTTGGTGTAGTTGGTGTAGTTAGTGTAGTTGTTGTAGTTCGTGTAGTTGGTGTAGTTACTGTAGTGAGTGTAGCACGTGTAGTTGGTGTAGTTGGTGTAGTTACTGTAGTTGGTGTAGTTACTGTAGTTGGTGTAGTTGCTTGGTGTAGTATGATAAGTTAATGTTTGGTATAGTTGGTGTAGTTAGTGTAGTTGATGTAGTTGCTGTAGTTACTGTAGTGAGTGTAGCATTTGTAGTTGCTGTAGTTACTGTAGTTGGTGTAGTTCGTGTAGTATGTGTAGTTGCTGTAGTTAGTGTGGTTGCTGTAGTTACTGTAGTTAGTGCAGTTGGTGTAGTTACTGTAGTTTGGCGTAGTTGGTGTATTTTAGTGTAGGTTGGTGTATTTTGGTGTAGGTTGGTGTATTTTGGTGTAGTTTGTGTGGTTGGTGTAGTTTGGTGTAGTTGTTGTAGTTATACAAGATTTATTCTAACTGATAATAACCAAAATTACGTAAATCCTAACTTACGTGAACATCAAAAAAACTGTTGTGTGTGTCATCGGCGCTTTCTCTGTTTAATATATATTTTTTTTATGTTGAGGGTGTTGTTGTTGTTGTTTGTTTAACGAAATAATGTTGCTTTGTTAACTCGCTTATTTTGAAATATTATCATAATTGATTTACCTTCTTATAAAGCTTTCAACGGGTGAAGTTATTTTTAGATTTCTTCTGCATTATGTTGGGTAGATGATCGCAGTTATAAACACCTCATCGGTATATTACCGTAAAGTTTCGGAAAGTAACGAGCCTCCCAAAGAAGCAACCTTCAGAAAGTTGCGTTAGATTTCACAGGTGTTAGCAAATCACCACAATTAATTTGCTACAGTAACTACACCAAACTACACCAACTACACCAAACCACACCAAATTACACCACACTACACCAACTACACCAAACTACACCAAACTACACCTACTACACCAAACTACACCAACTACACAAAACTACGACAAACTACACCAACTACACAAAACTACACCAACTACACAAAACTACATCAAACTACACCAACTTCACAAAACTATACCAAACTACACCTACTAAACCAAACTACACAACTACACAAAACTACACCAAACTACACCTACTACACAAAACTACACCAACTATACCAAACTACACCAACTACAGCTACTACATCAACTACAGCAACTACACTAACTACACCAACTAGAGCTACTACACCAACCACAGCTACTACAGCAACTACACTAAGTACACCAACTACACCAGCTAAAGCAACTACACTAACTACACCAACTACAGCTACTACACCAACTACAGCAACTACACTAAGTACACCAACTACACCGGCTACAGCAACTACGCTAACTACACCAACTACAGCAACTACACTAACTATACCAAACGTCAACTTTATCATAGTATATTAAGTCATCACTATATAAATATGTCTCTATATTCGTGATGGTTATCATGAACCCATTACCTTATACTTCTGGTTTGCAGGTGACGTCACAGCGGCCATCTTGGTCGTCAAGAACAAAAGCATGTCTCTTCTCTGGGAAGTAACCTCTATTTTCATGTAAATTCTTCGAGAAAACAATTCTATTGTACTGACCCCCAACATGGTCGCCTTGTCACGTGGTTGCAAACTAAGAATATCCACATGGTAATGTGATATCAGTGGAGGAGAAGGGGATGTCATCAGTCCTCATCGGTGGATTGCTCAGATGACTAAATGTTACCTACTTTTGTCATTTGCCATCGTATCGATTGTTTTATCCAAAATAAAGTCTGTTGCGAGGTCGAATTATTGCAGGAATTAGTAGCAAAAGCGAAGTACTTTCTCAGCTAAGAGCTAAAGAAGACTCATATACAGTGCTTAAACGATGGAACATCACCCATGGCCCTAGGGCACGAAACCCCCTCCTTTACAAAAATGGGCCTTGGGTCCATATAACAGTTGAGTACGTCACCAGCACTGCTAACGTTTGTCCCCTCTCACTTTCAAATTTGTTCCTACGGGTCTGCATGACAAGACAGCATATCTCGGGGAAAAAAGCGGCGAGAAAACTGCTTCGATTTGAAAGTAGGTTGGCTGTGCTTGGTAATTTGGATTGCGCGTCACACAGAAAAACAGGAACACGTTGATTTGGCCAATTGATTCATGATAAAAACTTATCTTCTCGGAGAAATGGTAGTCTTTCGTTGTTTTCACCTTATTTGTAACTAAACTTTAATTTGAATAATTATTTTACGTAAGTGCATCAATCTTAGCCATCGGTAGCTGTCCGGCAAACTGAGAAAGTTTTACCTCTAATTATGGATTGCTTACTAGCCTACGTAATTCAGTTTACTTTAACAAAGAGAAGAAGAACAACAGTCAACAAGCTGTAAACTAATCGAACAACAAATAGAGGTGCTATGTACAGGTTGCTGTATATGGGGAGAGTATATATATTAAATAATAATATAGTTTTACCTGTATTTTTGAACTTGGTTTAGCAAAAAATTTATCTCACTCTACTACTTGGCAATTTAAAACAACGAAAAATCATTTAAAGGCCGATTAAAAGTCTTTATCTGACGCCGAGCACTAAGTCAGTAGTGGTCCCTAGAAGTATTTCAACGAGTAACAATTTTAATGATGTCAAGTGATTTCTGCACCGTTCTTTGAAGTTAGTGGGTTGCGGGCAATTACCTTCAAGGGGGCATTCCCGTTTCTTGACGGTAATTGCCTAAGACAAAACGTGATTTACCAAGCGACTGTAACGACTGGGACAACAACAGAATCATACATTGGACTCAGTAGCCACTAACTTCAAAGAACAGTACAGAAATCACTTGACATCCTTCCGACACGCGAACAGACGAAACGAGACGGAACTGTCCAAACAGGTGTGGACCCTCAAAGATGCCAACAGATCCTTTCACGTGCAGGGGAAAGTACTCAGTAATTGTAAACCATATGACAAGGCTAGCAAAAATTGTAATCCGTGCCTCCAAGAAAACATTTTTATCATTTGTAAAAAATTACTCATGTACTCTGAACAAAAGAAAGGAAGTTGCAAGTTCATGCCCCTACAGAAATAGATTCACTCTCAGAAATTTTAGAATAACGTAACGCAACGCAACGAAACCGCACGGATGCCGAAAAATCCATTGGGAGCCTCTATACCTCCGTGTCAACTTTGTGTCTATTTACCAAGTTTTTAATCACTCTGCGTCTGCCTCGTCACCAGCCTCTCGCAATCGCATATTCAGAAATTTTTAAGTTCGGAGGCCCACCCATCATCCCCCACTCGCTGTTCTACACTCGTTTCCCACACCCCGCATTGAACTCCACCCTCCTCACTTAGCTTTAGAAAAGAAACACGTTTCACGTGCAAAAATTCTCAGAAGCAGTCTTAAAAATTGCTTTTCCCGCAGTAGTTGCATCTTGTTCCACAAAACTTGGCGGAATTGCTTGACGGCACCCCAGTGCAAACTGTAGAACTAGAAAAAATACCCTTCAGCATCAGTTCAGGGTGAATCTGTTTTCGGAAGGTCTACCGAGTTGTGAAGCTCGGCGGCCGTTATTCCACAAATTAAATCTACCAAGATGTGAAGCTTGGCGGCGCCTTTTCATCACTGGACTCAACTCTATGATATATATTATTTACATTTTATTACATTGTTTTTGCATTATATTTCGTCGTTTTTGCTCTGTGTTTAATAAAACTACATGGCTCTCAGCCAATCCTCAGATTTAAGAATTTTTTTTCATGCCTATTATTATGATGAAAAACAGGTTACATTCAACTAATTCCCTAAGTTCTGAAACAGTTTCAGTTTCAGTTTAGTTTGAGTTTATTTTCTTTTTTTGCCAGAAAAAAAATACAAATACATACAGACATTCAATATATTACAAAAATGTTATTTAAAGATTATAAAGAGACGTAAATTGCAAGTAAAAGAATTTAAAAAAACTTTTCCGGCGTTGAAGCTCAAATGGAAACCTTGGGGCTTATTATATGAGCTCCCTCCCTAAAATAAGACTAAACATAATGAATAAATAAAAGGCCAAATCATACTGAAATATAATTGGGATAAAACTAAGCAAAACAAAACGGACAAAACAGACAAAAAGCAGCAAAAAACAAGTATTATTTACAAATGGATAATCAACTAAGAAGAAATGTTTTTTAATCTGGATGTAAAAAGAGAGATAGTAGCAGCAAAAACGAACGTAAAGCATTTTTTCGCTTTAATTCTCATCTCGTAAGTATATGGTACAAACTGACCCAGACATAATTTAGCCCATTTTTTGAACATGTGTATATTGTTAATACTTCCTGTCTGCGATGAGACGATTAGTAGTACGTTAATAAAAAGCCTTTTTTAATCAATTTGAATCTTTGTTCTACAGATGTATTGATCAAGACTCGGTTAATAAACTTTGTGTCACTGATCATGACAGTTTAGCTCGTTTCCTAAAAACCAGACAATTGTGCTATTTGTTTTGCCAATTACACGGCAGTAACAAGATTGCCAATAACTCCGTCGTTTAATAAAATGAAAATACAGCCCACCGCATATCTAATTGGTTTTCAACATGATGAAGCTTTCACATAAGGAAAACAGATATATTAAAAAAAGGTTCGCTCGAGCGTAGTTGCTTCGGAGAAAAGTCATGGTAATGACAAACTACCAAGCAATTAGAGAACTGTATTGTTCTGGAAAATTCACTGGAGAGTCGAGGAGTAGGTACATGACGGGCTAATTTTTCTCTAAGGACAGCTAAATATGATGGTGAATGATGGTGCAAGTTCCATGTTAATATTTTGGATTCGCTATACTCAATCGAAATGAATATCAACATGGCGTTTTTAATTTTTAATATTCTACCTTTCATATAACAGATCCGAATTGGACGCGCCGGAAAATGATGTGAACGGGGGAAATAAATTTTAAAAACAATTTAAATGAAGATATAATCTTGACGTAGTGAAATAGCAATTTAAGCAATTGCAAATAAATCGCCCAAAATGTTAAAGTTATAGCCCACATAGTCTGGCATGTTTAGGGATATACTCGGTTAAGACTTCCTCTTCTAGCCAATTTAGTGCTGGTATCCATGTCAACGTCAGTCAAAGCTGAAGAAAAACGGCACCAGCTATTTGAAGCTACAAAATACAGAAACACTTAAAAGCCCCCAACTTTAATATAAGCCCCTCCAGTAACAGGCTCGCCAATATAAGCTCCCCTCTAACTTGTATTGAAATGAATGTGATATATTATGATATTTTGAAGCGTTTACCAGTAACTGCAAAACATATTTAAATCAGCACTGCTTTAGCTTCTTTCGGAGAGCTTTTTCCATTCCCGTTATAATCCCCCTGGGATATAATTAAAGCCCCTCCGTTTAATTTATAAGCCCTCCCAAAACCCCTTACGAAGATGTATAATCCCAGGGCTTTTAAGCGGCAGTTTACGGCACCGCATATCATATGTTCGCCGGCTCACAAACTTAACACCTCCTTTAGCGAAATTTTCTCTTTCTTCCTCTCACAGTGGAGTATGTTTACTAAAACTGCATTGCCCTCAGCTAATCGTCGAATTCAATATATATATATTTTTTTTCATGATTTTTATTATGATAAAAACAGGTTACATTCTAATTTCCTAAGCTAGAACGAACGTTTTATTTTCTTTAATTCCCATCTCGTAAATGGCCCAGACTTTAGAGCCCATTATTTGAACATTTGTACATTGTTAATGAGACTTCGGTGCCTGCGATGCCCCTATGAGCGCGCCGCGCGTCAGTTTAACTTCTGGCAATTGATGAAAACCCGTTTTCTACTCAATTTGAATATATGCTTAACAAAACTATCGATCAAGACTTGGTACGGTTAATAGACTTCTTATTACTAACAGTTTAGCTCGTTTTCTAAAAGCCAGGTAATTGTGCTATTTGCTCCTTAATCGCACAGCAAAACAAAGGCAACAGCAAGATTGTCGAATTCCGTCGTTTAATAACCTGAAAAAACAGCACATATTTAATTGTTTGCTGACAAGGTGTAGCAGTAATATAAGGAGGACAGATATATTAAAAAAGAGTTCAGTTGACTGTAGCCGAATCGCAGGAAAGTCATGGAAATGACAAATTTTACTGCAAGTGAAAACCTGCAAACAGCCGTAGAATTCTTCTGCTCTGCAGAATTTACTGGAGAGGTACATGGCGAGCTCATTTTTCTCTCTGTCGTTAACACTTGTTTGTCCATTACAGCATTTTTAGGGAACGCTCTGATCCTAGTTGCCCTACACAAGGACACATCAATTCATCCGCCATCCAAACTCCTGTATCGTAACCTAGCGATAACTGATCTTTGTGTTGGTATAATGGGGGAGCCTCTGTATGTTGCTTGTATGATTTCTGTGGTGAACAAAAGATGGGATATTTGCTATTACGCATCTTTGACAGTATATTTCGCAGGTGTTACTTTGTGTGGAGTGTCGTTGATAACACTGACTGCAATAAGCGTGGACAGACTTCTCGCTTTGCTACTGGGTCTCAGATACAGACAAGTTGTGACTTTGAAAAGAACATGTTTAATTGCTATTAGTGGTTGGATTGTGTCCATTGTCGGTGCATCTATCTCCTTTCTTAATCTTCGTATACTTTCATTGTACCAATATATTGCTACAGCTTTTTGTTTAGTTACTACAATTTGTGCCTACATAAAAATTTTTATGTCTCTGCGTCATAACCAAATTCATGTTCAGAACCATGTTGTTCAAGGACAATCAAGCCAAGCAAACACACTGAATATAGCTCGATACAGAAAGGCTGTGTACAGTGCACTGTGGGTGCAGGTAACATTGCTTATTTGTTATATGCCGTACAGTATAGCTGTAGCTTTCAGAACACGTCAAGGGGGGATGCTTATATCTACCTACCTTGCTAGGGAATTTACAGTTACTTTAGTGTATTTAAACTCGTCGTTAAACCCGTTTCTGTACTGCTGGAAGATCACAGAAGTGAGACAAGCTGTAAAAGAAATGTTACAACTACACTTCCGTATCAACTAAGACTTAGACTAAGACTTATGGAATTAAGACTACCAGTTGTAAAAAGCCGTCCAGAAAGTATAGTTTTAGCTTGTCAAAGGAACCTTTACTAACAAACCTGATAGGAAACTGATAGGAAGCTATTATGCTATTTGTTTTGCCAATTGCACGGCAGCAACAAGATTGTAAATAACTCTGTTGTCGTTTAATAAAAATGAAAATACAACACACGTACACTGTATCTAATTGGTTTTTGACATGATGAAGCTATCATATAAGAAAAACAGATCTACTGTATTAAAAAAGGTTCTCCTGAACGTATTTACTTCGGAGAAAAGTCATTGTAATGCCAAACTAGCAAACAATTAGAGAACTGTATTGTTCTGCAAAATTCACTGGAGAGTCGAGGAGAGGTACATGACGAGCTAATTTTTCTCTAAGACAAAAGAGGATAGCTAAATATGATGGTGAGTGATGGTGCAAGTTCCATGATAATATTTTGGGTTCACTATACTCAATCGAAATGACCGTCACCATGGCGTTTTCAATTTTTAATATTCTACCTTTCACATAACAGATCCGAATTGGACGCACCGGGAGATGATGTGAACGAGGGAAATAAATTTAAAAACAGTTTAAATGAAGATATAATCGTGACTCGTGAAATAGCAATTTTTAAGCAATTGCAAATAAACCGCCCAAAATGTAAAAGTTATGGCCCACACCGTTTGACATGTTTGGGAATATCAGACTCGGTTAAGACTTCCTCGTCAAAGAAAATGTAGCCAAATTACTGCTGGTATCCATGTGAACGTCAGTCAAAGCTGATTATAGAAAAACGGTACACGCAATTTGAAGCTACAAAACATAGAAACATTTAAAAGCCCCAACACAGAAGTGAGACAAGCTGTAAAAGAAACATTACAACAAATACACTTCTGTGTCAACTATGACTTAGACTAGGACTTATGGCATTAAGACTACCAGCTGTAAACCGCCGACCGAACTTGATAGGAAACTATCAAATATGAAAGAAAATAAATAATAGGGGTACTGTACTTCCCATAAGCTTTACAATTGGAACTTTATTCTTTTTTAAGCCTGTAGAACCACATCTTGCTTGTCATTTATTTTTCACCAAATTCAAATCAAATATGTCTCAAAGATAAAAGAAGGGCTTTCGTGGCTTTTGACCGATTGGAGAGGAGCCCAGAGAAAATATATTTTATCTTTCAATAGTTAACCACAGCTCGACTTAGAATATCAGACAAATGTCCTGTATCTTTCCGAATTGAACCGTTAAGATTATTTTCTCATGTCTCACTGCAGGTTATATTTCGACAAAAACAAAACTCATAAGGATCGAAAACCTCTCCCCCTCCCCCCGAAAGAGCTCTTCGAGGAGGATCGAAGACCGGACAAGGGAAACGGAGGAAATCGAGCCCACAAACTCATTTGTTTATGTTAAACATGCAAGTTAATAATCAGAGTAATCTTAACACAAAATGGACACTCACTAGTTATCTAATTACTTGTCTGATAATGAAGACCCAACGACGGCTATGAATAAGCCACAGAAAGAGAACAGCTCATTTGCACGCAGTTACATCACAGAGACACCAGCCAGAAAACCGTCAGAGAACTGTAATGTTCTGCGAAATGTACTTAAAAATACAGTGGCATAAATAGCGGTTGTTTATCAAACAAAAACCACTATGTTATAATCAAGACAAACGTCATAAGTTCAAGTTGGTAAAAACTAATTAGGGGGCAAACAAAGTACTTTTCCCAAATATTGCTTTTTCAAAATTTAACAATGTTTATTCTGAGATCAGTTTAACTTCTGGCAATTGACGAAAACCGCTTTTTACTCAGTTTGAATCTATGTTTAACAGACTTATCGATCAAGACTTGGTTAATCGACTTTTTATTACTAACAGTTTAACTCGTTTTCTAAAGGCCTGGGCCCGGTTGCATAAAACGCCCGTAACAGTTACGGGTATACGTACGTGTACTCGTAACTTAAGTGAGTTGCATTAAATCACTTACGTGGTCCACTTAGGGGATTCACTTAAGTGGCTGCACTTACGATTTCCGTAAGTATCCACTCAAGTGTCATTTATGCAACAGAAATTGCGGGTGTTGCATAAAACCTTTTTTACGGGAAAATTAGCACTTAAATTTACGGGACCTATGTAGGTCCCGTATCCTTACTGTTTTTACTAAAGTTAACGAGATCTTTTACCGAGAAGTGAAAAAAAATTGTTTTTTTTTTACGTAATTCCGTTCTAATGCGCTTTGTTAACCTCTGATGTACAATTTAAAGCCGTCGTTAAGAAAAAAGAAGAATAACAAACATTTCCAGTGGATATTGAAGTAAAATAACGATTTCATGTAAACTTTTTTTGAATGAGAGGCTTAAAGACTTGACACTTTCTTTACTGTCACCGATGGTTAACTTAATTTTAAAAAAATAGAGTGAGTCAAATTAATAATTAAAAGTACTATAACAAAGTGACGTGTGCCCTTAAGTGAGCCCGTAAGTTACCACGTACAACAGAAACTTACGAGAGTGCTAAGTGTATTCCATGCAACACCCGTAAGTGTACCCATAACGGATTCGTAAGTGACCTACTTAAGTGGGCACTTAAGTGCAGGTTTTATGCAACCGGGCCCTGGGCCCTGGGCCCGGTTGCATAAAACCTGCACTTAAGTGCCCACTTAAGTAGGTCACTTACGAATCCGTTATGGGTACACTTACGGGTGTTGCATGGAACACACTTAGCACTCTCGTAAGTTTCTGTTTTACGTGGTAACTTAAGAGCTCACTTAAGGGCACACGTAACTTTGTTATAGTACTTTTAATTATTAATTTGACTCACTCTATTTTTTTAAATTAAGTTAACGATCGGTGAGTGTAAAGAAAGTTAAAAGTCGTTTCGAACACTTTTAAGCCTCTCAAAAAATGAAATTTGCATGCAAACGTTATTTTTCTTCAATATCTACTAAAAATGATAGTTCGTCTTCTTTTTTCACAAAAGTGTACATCAGAGGTTAACAAAGCGCATTAGAACGAATTAAGAGAAGAAAAATACTTTTTTTCACTTCTCAGTAAAAGATCTCGTTAAATTTAGTAAAAACAGTAACGATACGGGACCCACATAGGTCCCGTAAAATTACGTGCTATTTTTCCCTTAAAAAAAGTTTTATGCAACACCCGCAATTTCTGTTGCATAAACGACACTTAAGTGAACACTTACGAAAATCGTAAGTGCAACCACTTGAGTGAATTCCCTAAGTGGACCACTTAAGTAATTTCATGCAACTGACTTAAGTTGCGAGTGCACGTACGTGTACCCGTAGTTGTTACGGACGTTTTATGCAACCGGGCCCTGGGCCCGGTTGCATAAAACCTGCACTTAAGTGCTCACTTAAGTAGGTCACTTACGAATCCGTTATGGGTATACCTACGGGTGTTGCATGGAACTCACTTAGTACTCTCGTAAGTTTCTGTTTTACGTAGTAACTTACGGGCTCACTTGAGGGCACACGTAACCTTGATATAGTACTCTATGAATGATTCTTTTTTTTTTTTTAAGCTAACCATCGGTGAGTGTAAAGAAAGTTAAAAGTCGCTTAGAACACTTTTAAGCCTCTAAAAAAATGAAATTTGCATGCAAACGTTATTTTTCTTCAATATCTACTGAAAATGATAGGTCTTCTTCTTTTTTCACAAAAGTGTACATCAGAGGTTAAGAAAGCGGGTTAGAACGAATTACGTGAAGAAAATACTTTTTTTTTTCACTTCTCAGTAAAAGATCTCGTTAAATTTAGTAAAAACAGTAGCGATACGGGACCTACATAGGTACCTTAAATTTACGTGCCATTATTCCGGTAAAAAAAGTTTTATGCAACACCCGCAATTTCTGTTGCATAAACGACACTTAAGTGAACACTTACGAAAATCTTAAGTGCAACCACTCAAGTGAATTCCCTAAGTGGACTACTTAAGTTATTTCTCGCAACTGACTTAAGTTACGAGTGCACGTACGTGTACCCGTAGTTGTTACGGACGTTTTATACAACCGGGCCCAAGCAATTGTGCTATTTGCTTCCTTATCGCACGGCAACACCAAGATTTAATAAACACCAAGGTTTAATAAACTGAAAATACAGAGCAAATATTTTAAATTGTTTGTTCACAAGGTGTAGCAGTCATATAAGGAGGACAGATGTATTAAAAAAGAGCTCAGTTGACTGTTTACTAGAGATGAAAACCTGCTAACAACTGCAAAACACAAATTTACTGCTCTGTTGACCGTACTGAAGAGGTACATGGCGAGCTTGTTTTTCTCTCTGTCATTAACATTGTTTTGTCAATTACAGCATTATGGGGGAATAGTCTGATCCTAGTTGCCCTTCACAAGGACACATCAATTCATCTGCCATCCAAACTCCTCTATAGTAACCTAGCGATAACCGATCTTTGTGTTGGTATCATTGTTGAGCCTCTGAATGTTGCTCATTGGACATCCGTGGTGGACAAAAGATGGGATATTTGCTATTACACATTGACAGTATATTTCCCAGGTGTTACTTTTTTTTCGGTGTCGTCTATAACACTGACTACAATAAGCGTGGACAGACTTCTCACTTTGCTACTGGGTCTCAGATACAGACAAGTTGTAACTTTGAAAAGAACATGTTTAATTGCTATTGGTGGTTGGATTGTGTCTGTGGTCGGTGCATCTACATCCTTTCTTAATCGTCTTATAGTTTCATTGTTGGTATGAATAGGTACAGCTCTTTGTTTAGTCACTACA